AAATAAGTTTTAATATATAGATAGATAAATAACATTACATCAACTTGTTTATATTTTGATTAAAAAATATAAGTAGTAAACATTTGCTATGTTTTAAATCTTGTTTTCCATATAACAGAAGAAAATAACTATAAAACAAAGCAAAAGTGTATATATATACTGTATATAGCTCCTATAAGTAAATTCCAACTATCAAAACAGTAACTAAATCATATTAGTAAACAATAAACAGATTCTAATCATCTTGAAAGGATGAATCCTATCAATTGGGTATACAATAACATCATCTATATCTTTATTATTTCTATTTATGATCTAATTTAACAGAATTTTTCCTTAAATAAAAAGATGAGGAATTAACCTTTAGTCTATATGTATTTGTCAATATCTTATAGTTAAAATTATGTATGTACTTTGAAAGGAATTATAGGCTATATTTGAAACTCCTGATTTTTAAATAGTTGAGTTATAGGCAACCACTGTAACTTATTTCTAGAAATAGTAAATTTTTAGAATTTAAGTACAGTATAGTTTAATTTTAACAATCTAACATATTCAAAAACAGAAGGTTAAACTTGAAAAATATAAAACTTCTTATGATTCATCATAATTTACATAGAAAATGAAATTCTATATATTATTCATCACAAAAACCTATTCTAACAATTAATGCATAAATTTATATATTACAAAAGCATATTATTAACAGCACTTAAACTCAAATGCATTTTTAATTATTAATAATATAACATATTTGTTTTTAAGCTCTAATCAAATTATATTTAAATTTAATGTAGTATAAAACAACAATATGTAATTCTCCCATAAAATACAAAATTTAATGCTATATTATGGGTCCTAAATTATAGCAAAAGCAGTTTTATTTATTTCTCATTTTATTATTAAACAATCTAATTCATTAATTTTAATTTATAGTAAGAGTGATTCTTAAAAATTCATCCATCTCTTTATATAATTCTTTATTTTAAATTACACTTTCTATCAATATTTAAAAATCTTAATGTCATTTAAGTAAAACTTAGTTTTATTTTTCTTCTTTTTTTAAGTGAATTTAAGGATGCCAAACTACTTATTAACTGAAAGAGGTCACTTTTATACAACATTTTTTAACATGTCAAATTGCTTATCTTTCTGATAAGCAACTCTTTCAAATAATCATCTTCTTCAAAACAAAAATTTTTTTTTAATATATTTATTTTAAACTTTCATAAATCTAGAAATCCTACTTATGATAATTAAAGTGAATGACTTTATAATAACAACAATAATTTACTAACTACTTTTATTATCTGCATTTAATTCAGATAATTATGCCATAACCAAGTTAAGCTTGGCAAGTTTTTATAGACAAGATTCTGCTATCTATACCTATTAATTTCTCATTTGTCACATTTAAGTGATTGGGGAAAAATCTTTTTTAAGTGGAATTACATTGAATATCATTCTGTAATATTAATTTTCGCGTAAAATATTAGAGAAATTTAAAATTCAATTTGTTTGGATACTTATAAAGAGTTAATAATGTCATTTATTTTCTTTGAAGAATTAATGGTGGGCTTGAGTAAAAAATATTTACTTGCTGCCATCAATTTGCTGCTGCTATTCAGATGTGCAAACTTAATTTCACTTAAGCAAAATACTGTAAAGATTCTTTAAAATCTTTTTATTATTATTATTATCTTTAAATAAACTGCATTTATGGTTTTAATGAGAGGTATTTAAATGGAACAAAACATTAAAACATTTAAAAATCTATCAATAATTAATAGCAATGGGGGGCAACTTACCTGTGGTCAGCCTGTAAATACCTGTGTAGAAAGTTGCATAGTAATATTCACTTGCAAATAATTATCTTTGTCTTTTTCATTTTGACCGCGTGCCCACTGCCCCCAGCTAACTTTAAGGGGAGGAAACCTGAAAAGGACTTTGTGTGTCGTTGAAAATGTTGAATTGTGATGGATGAAGTTGGTAGTCTACTCTGTTTAGGCCTAGCTTCTATTCTCTCATGAAACTCATTGCAAAGACTAAAATCTTTTCAAAATAGATGCTTTCATAAGAACTTAATATATTTAAATTACTGTGTATGCATTTCATAACTCTCAAAATTATAGGTCTACTTCGCATTAACTTCATCCATTAGAGTATTTTATTTGCAGTTTTATTTTAAATACTGTATTTTTTTCCCTCAAAAAAGAAATATGGTTTAAAAAAAACCTTGAATAATTTATCTTATTTAACTGTTATTAATTGAAGTTAAATTTAAAAATTAACAGTTTTTAGCAAGTTATTAGTTTACAAAAGGATTATTATAACAGCAAATTTTCACAATTGTTTATAGAATTTTTTTGTTAATGTATGAACCAATCAAAAGTAACCCCACAGTTAAATAAGTTTTAATATATAGATAGATAAATAACATTACATCAACTTGTTTATATTTTGATTAAAAAATATAAGTAGTAAACATTTGCTATGTTTTAAATCTTGTTTTCCATATAACAGAAGAAAATAACTATAAAACAAAGCAAAAGTGTATATATATACTGTATATAGCTCCTATAAGTAAATTCCAACTATCAAAACAGTAACTAAATCATATTAGTAAACAATAAACAGATTCTAATCATCTTGAAAGGATGAATCCTATCAATTGGGTATACAATAACATCATCTATATCTTTATTATTTCTATTTATGATCTAATTTAACAGAATTTTTCCTTAAATAAAAAGATGAGGAATTAACCTTTAGTCTATATGTATTTGTCAATATCTTATAGTTAAAATTATGTATGTACTTTGAAAGGAATTATAGGCTATATTTGAAACTCCTGATTTTTAAATAGTTGAGTTATAGGCAACCACTGTAACTTATTTCTAGAAATAGTAAATTTTTAGAATTTAAGTACAGTATAGTTTAATTTTAACAATCTAACATATTCAAAAACAGAAGGTTAAACTTGAAAAATATAAAACTTCTTATGATTCATCATAATTTACATAGAAAATGAAATTCTATATATTATTCATCACAAAAACCTATTCTAACAATTAATGCATAAATTTATATATTACAAAAGCATATTATTAACAGCACTTAAACTCAAATGCATTTTTAATTATTAATAATATTTAATTAAAGATTACACATTATATAACATATTTGTTTTTAAGCTCTAATCAAATTATATTTAAATTTAATGTAGTATAAAACAACAATATGTAATTCTCCCATAAAATACAAAATTTAATGCTATATTATGGGTCCTAAATTATAGCAAAAGCAGTTTTATTTATTTCTCATTTTATTATTAAACAATCTAATTCATTAATTTTAATTTATAGTAAGAGTGATTCTTAAAAATTCATCCATCTCTTTATATAATTCTTTATTTTAAATTACACTTTCTATCAATATTTAAAAATCTTAATGTCATTTAAGTAAAACTTAGTTTTATTTTTCTTCTTTTTTTAAGTGAATTTAAGGATGCCAAACTACTTATTAACTGAAAGAGGTCACTTTTATACAACATTTTTTAACATGTCAAATTGCTTATCTTTCTGATAAGCAACTCTTTCAAATAATCATCTTCTTCAAAACAAAAATTTTTTTTTAATATATTTATTTTAAACTTTCATAAATCTAGAAATCCTACTTATGATAATTAAAGTGAATGACTTTATAATAACAACAATAATTTACTAACTACTTTTATTATCTGCATTTAATTCAGATAATTATGCCATAACCAAGTTAAGCTTGGCAAGTTTTTATAGACAAGATTCTGCTATCTATACCTATTAATTTCTCATTTGTCACATTTAAGTGATTGGGGAAAAATCTTTTTTAAGTGGAATTACATTGAATATCATTCTGTAATATTAATTTTCGCGTAAAATATTAGAGAAATTTAAAATTCAATTTGTTTGGATACTTATAAAGAGTTAATAATGTCATTTATTTTCTTTGAAGAATTAATGGTGGGCTTGAGTAAAAAACAAATAATAAACTCATAATTATGGTTGTATTTTGTAATTATTAATTAAAATTAAAAATTAAAAAGCAAACAGAGGTAAAACTTGTAACTGAAAATTGGGTTTGTTCTAATTCTGTCTTGTAAATAAATAAACAAGTTCAGCAAACTCGTTATAAGTTTTAGTAAGTAAATTTCAAAGATTAAACAAGTTGGGTCAATTAGTTTTGTCAAAGAGGAGTCCTCCGACCGAGTTGACATTAGCTGAGAATCATTTTGACATGATAAAAGTGTTAAAATGCTAATTGCCTCGTTTATTTTGTTGTAGAACGTGACATAAAGCCCTTTCTAGCATATATTTTATTTGTCCACTGCACAAATTAACAACAGAGAACCTAATTAATATAACGGCTTTTAACAAATTGGATAAGAAAATAAGGTAGAAAATTTTACTGGAAATGAATATTCAGCAGTTAAGTTTAGAACTGACCTTGGTCATTCCAGTTAAAACAAGTCAGCCAGCGTGTGAAAACAGCTGATAATAGGGATTAAGTGACCCCCTCACGATTGTCAATCACGGTTTCTAATCCCTGCTGGGAGTGGCATCCTTTGCTTTCCCGACCACGTGTACCCGATGTAAAGATACTTAAATGTGTCACCTGTACGCGTTTAAAGCTTAACTTAAAGGCTTCTAAACTAAAATCTACTTAACTGTCAAAATATCGACCCTAGGCCGGTATAAAGTGTTCCAACCCATTTTAAAATGTCAGAATTTTGCCACTCGTCAGATCCGTAAAATATTTACGCTGTTAATATAGGAAGATGGATAAATTTTGGCTTTTAAATGTCATTAACCCGATAACGATCTAGATATTAAAATGCTCCCATTGCATTTTAACAGTACTTTAAAAGATGGGAAAACGACATCGGAAGCTTTATAACCCGTTAAATACAACTCTTGTAAATAATTACTAGAAACGTAAGAGAAGGATGGCTTTGAACTTACTTGAAGAAATCGTTTCTGCAGTAAATTTTCCCATCTCTCGAAAAGCACTTCTCTGTCAAATTACATTTGCAGTCACAGCACTGGACACACTTAGCGTGCCAAGAACGGTCTAACACATTGAGTAAAAATCGGTCTAGGATGGGACGATCACATCCGGCACATTGCACCATCTTCATATTGGCATAACAATCGAATTAGCACCCACACTCGACGACTGTCCGATAGAAAAAAACGAAGGTAATTTTCCGGCCGAAATGCTAATGTTCGTGTAGGAAACTGGCTGGTTTGACAGGCAGCGTGCACCTCGCTATTGTACACATGGGGTCAGTCGATGCGGCCTACGACGGAGCTTACACGGTGCCATCTGCGCAGACGGGCTCGTCACCCCGGTACCTAGCTTCGCAGCAGGAAATTTATTTTCCTCTTCGTGGCGTTAAGGCGGGACTAGCGAGTGCCTATCAAACTCAGTCTCACTCTACTCTCTCCACCGCTCGCCTCACTACCACTGGTTGGCTGGTTGGGCTGAGCCTTCAGAGTCAAACGCGTTCGCCGGCTATCTCGCTCATTCTCTCTACTTATTCTTTTGTTAAGATTTTTTTTTTATCGGGAGATATGTCAAACTTGCCTGTTTGTACTTCAACTCGATTCTAATTTATTATTCCGATGGTCATTGCCTTTGTACATATGCAAAATATAAATATAAATATACCTTTGAGATGCTTTTCTTTTACGTTTAAATGCGAGTTAGAGACGTAAAAAGTTTCTGGATTACGTTACGAAACGAGAGTAATTTTCGATAACGACAACTTTAAACATATCCGGAGTCTTGAGTTATTTATAGCTCGTAGCAGTCACCCTTCGCAATTTCGCTAAAACTTATAACTTTGTCGAAATTAAGGTTTTGCTATTGAAGGACCAACCCTGTTTCTGTCGGAAATTCCTTTTTACTATCAAACCAATAGCAGGTGGATAATATATCTGTAGGAGAGAGAGAAAAACAGAGGAGTTCTGTTCTTGGTGCGATTGGCCCCGGGGCCATCTAACAATCATCCATCAGTTGGAGACAAGCCGGGTACCTGAACCGAAGAATTTTTCTTGTGTCTTGTAGTCCGGGAACAGGGTCACAACACCTTTCCATTTCCATTTTTAAGTAATCTACCGGAGATCTACGTAAAGGTCAACCCGGATGCTTAAGTAACAGCGTCTATCCCTTGATCAGACAAAAGTTTGCAAGGGGGCTTTAGCAACATCTGTCTGTTTCCGATGATGAATTGCAGCCAACTAAAGATGCCTTTCTGCCTCTAGAGATAGCGAATTTCTCCAAAGCCCTTCTATCTGTTTGCTCGACGCTAAAAATCTGAGGTTGCTCGGGTGGCTTAAGGATCGACGCAAATCTTCCAACGTCCGATTTCATTAGTAACCAGTAATGATATCAGGGATACGGATGTAATTGTTGAAAGAAATTCCATCCGCCGGATTGCCATTTTTTCTCTTTATTCAAACTGTAAAAATTAAATTTGAATCGATAAAAACTGGGTTAAATTTTTTATTCAAAATTATGTTATCTATCATTCGACTGTTGGAGTTTCGTTTCGGTGCATACCACTTTAGCTATCAGGTGGGTGTTGCTTAAAAGATGATTTGCCATTGGAAATAATTTTAAGAAAGAAAGCACTGGTTTTTTTTTTTTTTGTTTGTTTCTTATCAAATTTACGAATCATTTTCGTTATCGCTGTGAAGCAAGCGTTGCATTCGTTCGACTGATCGTGCTTTTGGTGACATGACTATCATTCTTCGTTCAGTCATGCTGTACTATTTGTTTATGTTTCATTCGTAAATAATGAATGGAGTTGTCCGCATAATATTTCTCTCTTGGCGACTCCACCCATGTACGGGAATTTTTCCTTCCGTCGTCGGATCAATGAAGATTTACGGAAAGGCTACAATTAAGGGTTTCATGTTTGCCTAAATGTTGTTTTTGACTTTCTGTGAGACGGAGATAAAGCATAGTTTAGAGAGTTGCAGGTCAGCGGGTGTCTGTCGTGGGAGAAGTTGGACGATGAAAGCGGTAACAAGGACTACCTAGAGAAACACAGGAATCGACCCTGGGGTCAAGTGGCGGCTCTATGTCTAGCGACGCCAACCGCTGGTTGTATGTCACTGCTCGTGTCGCTGTACAACCCTGGGGCACACTTCGACACGAGTTATACCTCCTCGCGAGAAAATTATGGACACGTAGCGTAGTAAACTATACAAATGCGTAGGTCGTCTGCGTGTCAGGACTTTACAACAAACAAGGAGCCACCGAAAAAACATAGCATTGTAAATATTAAAAAGAAACCCACATAAGGAGCCTAAAGGTTAATCGTTATACTCCACTCGCCTTTATTTTTTATGTATATATATATATCCGTAAAAATAAACCTCGCATTTATCCACTCAATTTTTTTTTCGTCCTATTCCTCCAAACAATTAATTTTCTCTGGTATATTATAAAGTATATAGAAGTTCAGAAAGAGTGGGATTGCTAATGTGTCGCGATAACTAATTCTAGGAATTTCGTCCATAACACTGGTCCACCAAATCAAGCAGATACGTGACAACTGTTACCCACCGCAGTGCCAATATTTTAAGATATTTGAAAGCGTATAAGACCCGTTAAATATTTATGAAGTTAAAAATTAGGTTTATAGAGATTGGATTCAAACACTTTATTGGAAAGGTAACTGGATTAAAAATGGTCTACGACTTTAAAACTTATTCCAAAGATATGCTGTTTACAACTAATAAGGATCTAAATCTAAAATAAAGTTATATAAATTACTGTATTTTATATAAGGAATAAATTAAGCTTAGCTTGCTTAAAGAGAGAAAGTCGCATTTTCTCCATTAGAAATATTGCATATGAAAACTTCTAAAAGAATTGATCCGATGAAAATTATTATACGGTATTTTTATATACAGAAATTAATTGAATAAGATATTCCAGATTTAAAATATATATATATATATAATTTTTTATTTTTTATTAGTCTGTATCACATACAAACATACAAAATTACTGTACGGTTTTCTATAAGCCTTACAACTTTTAAACTCGTAAGTTGTAATAAAATTACGAGAAAAAGACGACTCAAACTAGAAAATTCCCATTCTAAACTTTAAAAAATAAAGATTGAAAATCTCAAAAATTGATTTTTCGATCTTCAGAAGTTTTTTTTTTTCATTGGAAAAACTTGTAAATTTATCGTTATTTCGAAGATCAATTCAGTTTAAATCTGTTATTGAGAACAATTTTAAAAGGAATTTTTGAGTATTTTTTAAAGAGATTTTCATCAATAATAATATACTAATAAAATTGTTTAAAGATTTATAAAAATTAATCTGAAACATTTGAAATGAAGCGAATATGGAAGTAGTTTTCTAATTTCGTTCGAACTATTGATCATTTCTTAACATTAACAGGAAAAACATCCGTTTGTATAAATGCAATGCTTTTTAAAAACAGGTATTGTAAGAATTTAGAAAGAAGATAAACAAAACCCCTATAAAGAAATTAACATTTCACCCTCATGTTAATGGAAATGCATGTTTAAACAGTCGAAAAACATGATAAATGAAAATAAAAAAAAAACATGTTTGTGGTATATTTAAACGAACCGATTAACATACGAGTAATTAGGATAATATATGAAGTTAGTAAGTTATTTTATTTTTGAAAAATAATCTTAAAGACAAATTCGAATGATCATTAATAATAATATACAGTATATAGATTATGTAAAATGCGATCGTGAATTTCTAATTAGATTCTCTTAGCAATGGATTCTGAAGTAAAGAAGAAAAGAAATTAAGTTTTAAATTTGATATAATAAAACACGTATTAGATTGAAATTTATAATATAATCTTCTGTAAATCTATTAGAGATTGTTATTAAATAGGCCTAATACATATTATAGTAAACCTTTGTGAAATCTTAGTAAATAAACAAGTTAACAAGTAAACTAAAGAGAGAAAGAATAGACTTTCTCTAGTTAATTCTATTTAAGGTACGAGAGAGCAATATAAATTCTTGATCGAGTTTTCTTAATAACTTTATCTATAAATAATAATTGATCCGAGCTGAAAGATATTTAAAATTTGCGAGACGGTAACTTTTATAATTCAGACGGAGACTTAGAATCACCTGTGAGTCGATTTTGTAGAGAGTGGGGAACAACAGATTAGCATATTATCCACGGTGTGGTCCTGGTTGTGGCATCATTCGCCTACCACAGATTCGACGGAGAGGAAAAGTGTCTTTAATGCATTATTAAGAGAAGGGAATTCATTCAGAAACGGAAGAAGTGTGATCGTTTGCGGCTTTCTGAATATTTCAGTGACTCGATACAACATTAATGAAACTCGATGTGGGTAATACAGCAAATGTGATTACCTCTCGTCTGCAGGGAGAGCTTTATTTCTCGCACGTCGTCTGCTGCCTGATAAATAATTAATTCGAACCAGTCAATGTTTTGTTCCGATAAACACGCTTTTGCTTCGGTATTCATTCGTCCGAGACGTGATTTGTGATATTTAATTTTGCGCCTTATAAATACATTTCCAACTTTGCTCGAATCGATGCTTCTCCTGCATTTTTCTTCCAACCTTAATTAATTCCGTCTTTCTCTTTTCTCTTTCTCTCTCTCTTTTTCCTTACTTTCTATTGGTCGAGATCTTCCAAACTTTACATAAATTCATCAGTTGTGGTTAATATTAATATTATAGTTATAGGAGTTTAGATTTTTCCACATCAGTCTCGTTTTTTATGGGCCTTGTACAATTCCAACTTTTAAATTTTTCGTTAAAATATAAGAAAAGTTTAAAACCCAATTTATTTCTAAAGATGAATTTCATTTGGAGATTACTAAAGCAAAATAAGCCCAATTTTTGATGAGTTCTCTCGTAGATAATTTGCTTAACGGCTTGTTTTTCTCCTTCCTACGCTACGATTGTGTCTAATGCATTTGCAAATTTGTTCGAAATTCATTAACAAACCCGTGTAAAAAGGGACTTTTACCTGTAATTACACTATTTGTTAAGACGGAAGAGGAGGAAAGAATCAAGCTTAAGGACAATATATTTTTTTTTTTTTTTTTCATTCGTAAATAATGAATGGAGTTGTCCGCATAATATTTCTCTCTTGGCGACTCCACCCATGTACGGGAATTTTTCCTTCCGTCGTCGGATCAATGAAGATTTACGGAAAGGCTACAATTAAGGGTTTCATGTTTGCCTAAATGTTGTTTTTGACTTTCTGTGAGACGGAGATAAAGCATAGTTTAGAGAGTTGCAGGTCAGCGGGTGTCTGTCGTGGGAGAAGTTGGACGATGAAAGCGGTAACAAGGACTACCTAGAGAAACACAGGAATCGACCCTGGGGTCAAGTGGCGGCTCTATGTCTAGCGACGCCAACCGCTGGTTGTATGTCACTGCTCGTGTCGCTGTACAACCCTGGGGCACACTTCGACACGAGTTATACCTCCTCGCGAGAAAATTATGGACACGTAGCGTAGTA